CCACTTCCTTCCTTGTGTATCCTCCACTGACTTCCTCGCTTTGCGACAGAATATGATGTTAGCGGCGACCCTAGGCGCGATTATACCCTCGTCCCTGCCATTCTGCGTTTGGGTCGGAACCGACGTCGGACAAGTCGAGATTCGTGAGCTCTAGTTTCGCATCTAGGCTCGCCTTGGGAGCAACAAATGGATTCCGAGGCCTAGACCGATCCGTTGGGTGGCTGGTTGGTCTGTGCGGTCGGAGCCAGGTCCGGACTTGCACACATGTGGCCCGTGGCCGGGGAAGGAGCCTCGACTGGCTGGCCACAACGCCTTTGCAGGGCCATCGGGGCTGTGTGACACCTGAAGCCGAAAGCGCCCTCGAACTTGACGATCACGCGCTCCGCTTCTTTCACCTGATGCCACTGTCCCCGAGACACCACGAGTCCCTACACGAGTCTCTACGATGTGTCGCTGGCATCCCGAGTTCGCAATTGCAGATTCCGGTTCGCTTGAACCGATGACTAGTAGCGAAAAATAAAGACGACGTCTACCAGCAGGTAACCTATCGCGAATGAATTGTCGGACGGCCGAGTAACAAAGCTTCCTTCCGAGTCCAATGTAGCCGATCACATCTACTTGGTAGCATGCTTTCACCTGCGGTGGTGAGTCTAGAATCTTGATCGTTCATTGACGTTATTAGATCTATGTAACGGTTAAGTGAGAAAGAGGTCAACCCCCCACTCCCCCTCCCTTAACCTGATCTTGTTCTTGCCCTCACCTCCGTGAAGGTTTGGCTATCGCCCATGAACCCGAATCTGATCGCATCGCAAAGCCCTTGGATAACGACCTTACTACCAAGCTACATCTTGCTGTTTCTGACCTCAAAAGCCGTGATGGCCCTTGGGCGCCAGAGTTAAATCAAAATATGGGCTTAGAGGAAAAACATTTCCCTTTCGAATGTCTTTGATGTCACTGTCAGACATTCGTGCCAATATTTCGGACTCCCAAGGAATTGAGGCCAGGAAGTTTACCTCCGTCTGGTCCTTCGCCGAGTGAGAGTTGCAGTGCTTGTAAAGGAGACGAAATAGTTCGAATGTGTTTTCGCGACGTGAAACCAACGTCACGAGCTCCTGGTGCGTCCGGAACGTTGTATCCCGTATGATACCTCCAAGGGAGTGTGGCTGTAACTTTGCCCCGCGCTCCAGGAGCAGTGCTACCGTCTTGCGCGCCGAGTGGTTTTCCAATAACAACCGAGTTAAGGCCGTCTGGCCGTACTTATCTAGGATGTTCACATCGACATCTCGAACGGCAATCAGACGCTCTGTCGCCTCATGCGATGTCATTGCCAACTCAGAAAGGAGTGGCCGTTTATCAATATCGACATCTGTTGCCCGCACCATGCCATTCGGATTGGCCCCGCGTCGAATCAGCCTCCGAATCAAGACGGCTCTATCAGAGCTAGACCTCCCCGGAAGAGACGCCGAGGGAGCCAGAAGAGCCAAGCGAAGGAGATGTTGCAGGTCACATCGTACTTCATGTTCAAGGAAACATGCGGCAAGGCGAAATAGGCCATTTCGGCAACAGTGTTTCAAGAGGCGGTCCGCGTGGTTCTTCAGGGCTATCCTGCCTTGAAGATCGGTCTGTTGTCGAAGGAGCAGTCGGATGGTTGAGCTACGTGTAAGCGGGCACTGTATCGCATAGGACAGCGGGGTGCGGTCACGCGCGTCTTTCGAGACCACCCCCGGTGCCGGTTTTTCGAGGATCCGCTTGACGACAGCGTCCAGACCAGTGGCGGAGGCAATATGAAGAGGCGTAAGTTGGCTACTTGATGACGGCTGATCTCCTGTCAACTTTCCCAGATACGTCGTGATATCTGGAGCGAGCAACTTGTCCAAGTGCCATTCCGTTGCACTCGTTATGCTTAGAATAGACGTGACGAGTTCCTCTCTTCGCTTGAGAACGGCGACGGCAAATGGGGACAGACTAGCAGCAGACTGACCCAGAATTCGTGAAAGCTTCAATACAAACCGCCTTGGGAACATTTCGGTCAGCGTGATGGCGAACTGCGGGGCCCAAACATCCATCCCAGCATACACCGATGCCTCGACTACGCGGAATGCCACGGCATCATCACGGCAGTGAATAACTGCCCATCGAGCAGCAGAACAGCGTTCTGACAGAACGTTGTGCCGATAAATCCGTGGTCTGAAGGCTTTCCGAAACTTCTGGGAGCACTGCAAGACGCGTATCCGTGTTGGACGGTCACAATCGTTA